ACACATGCCGTATTATTCATAGTGCGTTTCACTTAGTAACAATCACTGCCATAGTGAAATTCAACCCCATTACTTTGCACAACGATATTAAGCAAGGATCTCACGTTTTTTTTTAATAGCACTACGGTTTTTATGAGGGTGACCACCTTATAACTCCAAGTAAAAACATCACACAATAATGTGCAATGGGTGTCACTAGCTTACGCCTTTCTCAACATTTTCTGTCTCAGACGCTCTTTTCACAGTCGATCCCGCATTGGGAAACAAACCATGTGCTAGCTATCGCTCTAGATCATTTATGAGAAGGCAGCTCTATGCGACAAAAAATATAGAAAATAAGTACGTTCCAAGGCATGCAAGGACACGCAATCAATCCTAGACAATTAACATCGCACTAACTTTCAGAGGAGTAAGAACATCAATTATGGATCTAGAAGTGAAACAAATGCAAAATGTAAATCATGCCTAATGCAATAACCTGTATGCAATGCAAATATAATATATATACCAATATACAATACAATATAATATAATGGCATGCAAACAATCAGAGAATGCATATCCCTAAGGATTTTCTTAGAGAAATAAATCTTTGAGCATTTAGGTTATGTGCTGGAACATATTTATGAACAATTAAACCATCATCAACCAAATTTCTAGTAAAGTAGGAACGCATGCTAGTACGCTTAAGGGGATGTTGAACAGAATATTTGGAAACATTAGCCGCACAAGTATGGTCAGGGAGAAGGTCAACGGCTTGTACCTCAGTTCCAAATTTAATAAAAATGTGCTTCATCCACACCTTTTCTGAAAAACAGGTTTCAACCACAAGATTCTGATCGGTGTAAGAACATCCGTCAGACGTACTCCATTGATCAACGTCATTCACAACCCTATCAGCATCACAATCTCTAACAATACCAGAACTCGTATCACATGAGTCAAAAGTCATGTAATCGATCAAATAGCAATTATCATGCGATCTAGACCCTGTAAGAACAAAGTTATTATTCCTATCTGAAACCAAACATTCATTCATGGTAAAACTCACAGAAAAGCCTTGATCACATAACTGACTCACCCTCAGCAAATTGACATTCAAGTTCTCAACCAGCAAAACTATCAAGTTTAGGGAGACCAGGCATGTTCAAACTTCCAATTCCTACTACCTTATTACTAACACCATTACCAAAAGTGACAGAACCAGAACCATTAGACACAGGTATAACATCAATCAAATTCGATTTAACACCCGTCATGTGCCTAGAACATCCACTATCAAAATACCAATCACAATTAGAAGCGGATTTTGAAGCTAACAGAGATAAAAGACAAGTATGATTCTTCTTGGAACCCAAATTTTCTATTGCTTATGGTTCTTTACGTCAACCTTCAGTTTTGGTGTTTTCATTGGAACACCAACGGGGCTCCAGTCATTAATCCTTCTAGAATTTTTATACTGAGTTTTAGAAGGGGTTGGCTTACCATTCTTACCATCAAGTGAGTAACCTTCTTTGACAAAGGTCATATTAGACCTACTCTGTGAGGAACCTGGATCACAAACCTTGCCTTTCAGATTCTGATTGTAGGAGTTCTTACTCTGGTCTGAAGAGCCAATCTGTTGACTCAATCTTTGAACTTCAGCGAATGAGGACTTTGGCTTGTTGATCATTTTGACAATTTCCTCACTTTTGCTGAACTTTTCTTCCAAGGTAGAACAATGACTTCGAAGAGTCACATGTTGTTCCATCACACGACCGAGTTCCCCTTTGAGAACAACAATCTCAGAATTCCTTTCACCTATATTTTCCGCAAGGAAAACATTTCATTACGTAGAGACTCAATGACAAAATCGTTTTCATCCCATACCTGCTTGGACAACTTCTTCTCGTGTTCGAACATCGTAATTTTGGTAAAAAATTCATCCAGCTTATGTTCCTCCTTGCTGGTATCAACATCAGATCTGGTCAGCTTATCATTCAGTTCGTCATTCATCACGCGAGTTTTCTAAAGTTCATCCTTCAAGTAGGTGATCTCCTTCTCATGCTCTGCAGAACGATGTTGGAAAACCTCGACTTGAGCTTGTAGCTTTTTCACCATTTTTCCAGCTTTGATGCTCGTCTCTAATGCAAGCTTATGGGTTTCCATGTCTACTTCAAAAGAACCATCTCCATAATCATCAGAATCACTATGAGAATTATACGTGTAAGAACACATATCTGAATCGACATTACAAGGCTTATGAGAGGTTGTATAACACGTGAAGTTGTTGAGAGAAGTGACGGAAAAGTTGTTCATGTGTTGCTGGTCATCGCCGTCTTCATCATCCCACGTGGCTCGATAGCTTTTGTTCTTCCTCATGAAATTCAGACAGTCTTTACTTCATAATAAGCTTGTATCTCATGAAATATCAACCAACTAATATGAAATTTCATATATGAACTCAGCACACATACAAGAAATAATCACTTCAAGCTCAATATAGTAGGTTATTCATAGCTTATACAAAAATGAGATGAAACAACACCAACATTCTTGCATGCAAAATAGAAACATTTTTAACTTCTACCGTGGATATATCCTCATATAAACTGAAACTTAACTATACTTTAACACATATAATAACATATTAACTAAGCTATTAGCATGTATAGAAGATGGCTTTCTTACCTTCTTCAAGGGACAAGAAAACACAAGCAAAGAAAGAGATGGCTCGAGTGTGCTCTCGGTATTAGCTTGGAATGTTGCTCTCGGTCTCTCTCTTGATATGGGAGTTTTTCTTTGATTTTTCTTAAGTGAGGAAGATAGAGAATCAGAAAAACTAAAATGAGAGGGAGAAAGAGAGTAATGTGTAGGGTAAAAGCGGGAGAAGTGAGTGGATGGCATCACATGGTTGGTCTTTGAGATATGTGGGAGACACCACTATCATGTGGAGAATATGATATTTTCTTTGTTTTATTAAGACATGCATGTGGGAGAACATGTCTTGATGTGGAAGACATCACATGGAGCACAAAACATCTCTATTTGTCTCTTTCGGAGACATCCATTGACTTGGTATGGTTTGGTGTGGAAGACATCGCATGGGAAACCAAAAAAAAATCCCAATGACTTGGTAAGAAGGGGTGATTGCACATCACAAAAAGAGGAAAAAGAGCTGATGAATTTGATAAAAAAAAGAATCCATCTTAAGCTTAGCAACATTTGAGTTCCAAAATTTTCCAAAAGTAATCCACATACAAAATAATAGGGGCGGGTTTTGGATGAGGTTTTGGGGCCTGTTTTTCTCAAATAAAAAAAATAAATAAATAAACGAAAAAAAGAAAGATACTCCATGAGGGTTGGTCGAGTCCAGTCGAAGTTCAGGTCAGAACGGTTCCAAAACGAGTTCAAACGAACAAAAATTCAGCTTACGCGATTAAACCGAAAATTCAAATTGCGATTGATAAAATAAAATCGACCAAGCTATATAATCATAGTATCCACACAATATTATAATATATAATCACATAATAAAGGTATATAATAATAAATAAAATACCATTAACTAAAATAAACTCAGAAAAATATAATATTCGAACGGGATGCTATAGTCTACCCACCTTAAAAGGAATTTCGCCCTCGGAATTCAAAAATAAAGCAACTAGAGTACAATAGAATACAAAGGGGAACTCAAAACATGAAGTTCGGGTATCTCCTCCTAGTCTCGGCCTCCTTTTCCCAAGTTGCCTCGGACTCATCATGTCAGCTCCATTGCATCTTCACGAGACTCACTACCCGGTTTCTCAACTGATGGACCTTCCCGTCTATAATGGTCACCGGTACCTCCTCATAGGTAAGGTCTCGTTCGACCTGCAACTCTCCGAAGTCCACCACGTGGTCGGGGTCATGCACATATCTACGCAACATCGAGACATGAAATACATCATGCACCCCCGACAAACCCGGTGCTAAAGCTAGCCGATAAGCCAAGTCCCCGACTCGAGCAAGGATCTCAGAGGGACCAATATAGCGAGGCTGAAGCTTCCCCTTCTTTCCGAAGCGAATCACACCCTTCATGAGCGAGACCTTCAGAAAGACATGATCGTCGACTGCATACTCATGCTCCTACATCTTTCGGCCAGCATAAACCTTCTGCCTCTCTTGGGCGGACTTGATTCTCTTCCGGATCTCATCCACCTGCTTCGAAGTCCTACATATGAACTCCAAGCCCATAATCTTTCTCTCTCTGACCTCATCCCAATATAAGGGAGTCCGAACCTTTTTCCCCTACAGAGCCTCGTAGGGTGCCATCTTGATCGAAGAATGATAACTAGTATTATAAGTCAACTCCACCAATGGCAGCGAATCCTCCCAAGTTAGGCTACGGTCCAACACCACAGCCCTAAGAATGTCCTCCAAGTACTGGATCGTCCGCTCCGACTGACCATCTGTCTGAGGATGAAAAGTTAAAGTTGTACTGAACACCAGCCTCCTCCCCATAGCTCGGTGCAGAGTCTTCTAGAACTGACAAGTGAACTTCATATCTCGGTCGAACACAATCTCTACGGGCACCCCGTAAAGTTTAACGATCTCATCTGCTAATTATTTGGCGTAGTCACTGGCCTTCATCGTCGTTTGGACGGGCAATAAGTGGGCAGACATCGTAAGTCTATCCACAATCACCCATATGGAGTCGTGTCCTTTCCACGTCCTCGGCAAACCTACCACGAAATCCATGGTAATACACTCCTACTTCCACATGGGAATATCAAGCGGACTCAAAAGGCCTCTCGATTTTCGGTGTTCAGCCTTCACTTGCTTACACACTAGACAACCATTCACAAACCTCGTTACTTGGCACTTCATACCACGCCACCAGAAGGTCTTCCTCAAGTCCTGGTACATCTTCATGCTACCAGTGTAAACAGAATAAGGGGCACTATGAGCCTCTTTCAGAATCTCACGTCGCAGTTCCCAGACCTTCGGAACACAAAGCCTCCCCTCGAAGACTAAAGCACCGTCGGTTGAAACCGCAAAACCTCCATCCGCCCAGCTAAAGCCAACTCCTTCATTCGGCACAGGAAACGGTCGTTCAGCTGTTCGGTGATTATTCTCTCTCGTAAAGTCGACCCCACAACTAATGATGCTAGCATACCACTAGCTCTCGGAGTAGACTCCACAATTTCTATCCTCAATCGTTCGAAGTCCCGAACTAACCCTTCCTCTCGAGAGATCATGAAGTTCAGTGCACCGTGGTATCTCCGACTAAGCGCGTCGGCGACCACATTAGCCTTCCCCGGATGGTAGCTAATTGTGCAGTCATAGTCCTTCACGAGCTCTAGCCAGCGCCTCTGTCTCATATTGATCTCTTTCTGTGCGAAGATGTATTTCAAACTCTTGTGGTCCGTTAAGATCTCGCACTTGCCTCCGTAGAGATAGTGCCTCCAGATCTTAAGCGCATGAACCACTGCTGCAAGCTCTAGGTCATGGGTAGGATAGTTCACCTCGTGAGGCTTCAACTGCCTCGACGCATAAGCCACGACCTTCCCCTGCTGCATCAACACACAGCCCAAACCCATCTTCGAAGCATCGCTATAAATAGTGAACTTCAAGGTCGGGTCTGATATAGTCAACACTGGCGCAGACGTGAGCCTCTTCTTCAACTCCAGGCTCCATAAAAACTTGGCATTCTTCTTGGTTAAGTTCGTCACCGGTTGGGCCACTTTCGAGAAACCCTCGATAAAATGCCGATAATATCCCGCCAGTCCCAAAAAACTGCGGATGTCACAAGCATTCTTCGGTCTCTCCCATTTGCTGACGGCCTCAATCTTCCCTGGGTCTACCTTAATTCCATGGGCCGTGAAAATGTGGCGTAAGAAAGCCACCCTATCCAGCCAAAACTCACACTTCGAGAATTTCGCATAGAGCTTCTCCCGACGAAGGGTCTCTAGCACTATCCTCAAATGTTCTTTATGCTCCTCTATGTCCCGGGAATACACCAAGATGTCGTCGATGAAGACGATGACAAAGCGGTCCAGGTACGGATGGAAAACACGGTTCATCAAGTCCATGAACACCGCAGGGGCATTACTCAATCCAAACGGCATGACCACGAACTCGTAATGACCGTACCTAGTTCGGAAGGCGGTCTTTGGGACATCGAACTCTTGATCTTCTAAGTTAATCCCATTTATCGATCCTAAGGTCATCAAATTTGATTATACGCCATCCGAGGGGAAGCTCGTACGCTCTCACAAGATTTCCTCTGATCGTCTAATAAAAGATTTATCCTGGTAATTTCCTACAAATAATTTTACTGATGTCACCCGAGGGGGAACTCATACTTCAACTAATTGATTTACCAATAGATTAGAAATGGAGACCTCAGGAATTTTGAAATTAACTTTAATTTAAAATCCTTTCTTAAACTTCGTATAATTTAAATGAGAATTTTTAAAAATTTAAATATATGCAATTCTAAATTAATCCTTGCAAATGCAGTAATTAATTAACATGCATAATAAATTCATGCAATTCTAAATTAATCCCATGCAAAAGCAATAATTAATTTACATGCATAAATAAATAAATAAATAATGCACATAATAAAATTAAATAAATAAATCCACTATTATAGCCATTAAATATTGAGTTTTCTTAAAAAGGAAACATTGTAGATTCTTTCCTTGTCCAACTGGAACTCCCACTGCAGTAGAATCCTGATTGATATTGTACTGCTTTCCCAAGAAGTAAAAACCGCCTACACCTGTCGTCGCCCGCCGCCGCCGTGGTCAGAAAATCTCGCCGGCAATCGTTTTTTCCGTTTTTTACTTCGCGCATTCATCGCGCACTGCCAGCCGAGTCGCCATGGCCTCTCTTCGCTGCCGTGCGCTGCCGCTGCTGGTTCGGTGGCTCGCCGGTGATTCCTCGGGCCCGGTCCCAGTTGGGTTTTTGAGGTTCGTGGATCATTATGATCTCCTGATCATCAACATATCATCACAACACGAAAAATATAATTTACAAAATTACATTATCCGATCCTAGATCCAACGAATGGATGTACATGTTTTCTAAACAAATAATTAAATCTATTTGATCAACCTCCGGGCAAATAATTATCACAAACATTCATCCATAATTCCTCGACATGTCCGAGGCTTTAAAAACAAATTTAAAACCATACATCACATTCAACAACATTCATCAAACACATAATCGGCCATAATAGTGGATTAAATTAATTTCTGCAAAATCCAGTCATGCAAATATAATCCAATATATATGGTTGCGTTTGCACATCTTGACAAATAATGCCGTAAAAATTTGGACTTTGTACAAAACGAATTAACCAAGTGCTCTGATATCACTTGATGAATATATGTCGCAGTTAACTCTAGATCTTCTACTATATAAGTCGTACACCTCTTCTACTAGTATCGGTGGAGCGACAAGAAGAAGATAAAGCTCGAATAGAAAACTGAGAAAAGAGAGAGAGAGAGAGAGAGAGAGAGAGAGAGAGAGAGATGTCGGGAGTGTTTGTTTATTTCACGTAATGAATTCTGGTCTCTTCTTCTCTTTTCCATGAGCCTAATGATGTATATTTAGAGTTACAGTAAGGAAATTTAGAAGATTAGACTTACTACTAACTGGGCCATAATAGAACATAACTCATTACATTAAGAATAGAATAAGTTAAAATAAGATTGGCCGATTAACATAAAAGCCCACATTTGATTAACTTCAACTAGCAGCCTTCACTTCTTCGACCCAATTAATTATGCCTTTGGCAAAACTTCAGTTTTGATCTGTTGCATATCATCCTCGTCGTTCATTTGCCCTAAATCACCCAAATGTCCTTTATCTTCTAGAAATCTGGTCAATACATCTCCCCCTCCCCCCACTCCCTCTCCCCTTTTTCAGATCCTTATTCGGAAGGATCAAAGTCTGGAAATTTTTATACTATATATGATATGTCTTCTCAAGTAGGTTTAATACTCCCGCTTCACTCCACTCCACCAAAAGTTGTTCCACTTCAACCCCCTTTCGATTCATAGTCCTCCGCTTTGCCACCTTCAAAGGTTCAAGTTTAAAGATGTCGTCTTAGGTGATTTTAAGCAACTTCAGTGATGGTAAGTTCCCTTCTTTAATCTTCTTCTTCAGTAAAGATACATGGAAGACTGGATGGATCTGAGAGTCCTCCGGTAACTCTAGTTTATAAGCAACCTCACCGATCTTTTCAATTACCTTATAAGGGCGAAAGTACCGTTAACAAAGCTTTAAGCTTTTGCGCAAATGGACCGTGTTCTGGCGGTAGGCTTGCAGCTTCAAGTAAACTTCATCCCCAACCTCAAATGTCCTCTCAGTTCT